GATCCTTTGTTATACCAACCTCCTCTTTATAACAGCAACTTGGGTTATAAGCTCATAAAGGTCCCATTTGTTTTAACTATGAAGTATATAAGTTAACTCCGCCTTTGCTGGTCCCAAGCCCGAATGAAAAAGGAGGAGGGGGAGCAGTAACAAGCTCGCTTAAAAACCTGGGCTCAGCTGGCCCAGCTGATAGTACCCTGTAAGGGCTCCTAATCCAGGGATACAGGATGAGCAGCGTTTGTATTCCATGTTAGGAGCAGCTGCACATGGCGTCTGTTCCTCATGTCAGAGGCGGCCAATTCTTTTGGAGCTAAGTCGGCCTGCTACTGAGTAGTGCTCCCAGTCTAAATGACAAAGGCAGACGCATTATACTTCACCCAGTCATGATGGTTGTCAAACAGACACCATCAAGGGTCACAACTTGATACCCTAATGTGATTGAGTGGAGGTAAGGAAGAAGAAGAAGCTAATAAAATCAAATCCATATAAATAAGTAGTGTGACATTTCAGTAACAGTGTTGTTACCGAAATGTCACACTACTTATTTATTTGGTCTTATTAGCTTATGTTTCTAATCTATAATTCAAATTGTACCTTAACATGTTTCAACTATCCCTATATATAGTCACGACCGTCTTTCCTCATCGGCCTCTGTCACGGATGCGCGCGCACAGGGAGGTCACGTGCTCGCCGGCAGCCAATAAAAATTAAAAAAAAAAAAAAAAACTCCCTCGAGCCAGATTTGAACCAGCGACCTAAGGATCACCGTTGTAACATCTACAGTCCTCCGCTCTGCCAACTCAACTGAGCTATCGAGGGATACAAACTGTATGAATAAGTTTACCTTATAAAGTCAACTAATCCTATTTCTACACAAAATGTATATATATATAGTCATGACCGTCTTTCCTCATCGGCCTCTGTCATGGATGCGCGCGCACAGGGAGGTCACGTGCTCGCCGGCTCCCTCGAGCCGGATTTGAACCAGCGACCTAAGGATCACCGTTGTAACATCTACAGTTGGGTAAAACACGGGCGTTGCCCGGGTCATTCGGCTAGTGGTTATATAACTACAAGGGAAAATCTTAGTTCAGAGTGATGTGGTTATATTGCAAGGTTTGGCTGTTCACAATCCTATAACTCTCTGGGCTGGCATGAAGGGAGGTTTCTCTCTGTGTCCATCCATCCTGTGGATGACAACACTAAGTTTTAATCCATTGTTATATGACCACTTCAAAGTCAACAAATTTTCCTCGCATTTCCACTACACCTTTGTAACATCAAATAGCACTTCTGTAGCAAATTCTATAATTACTTTTGTAGAAGCTATTGTAGAACCTCTCTGTAATAAAGGACAAAACCTAGTTACAAAGCCAAAGTGTCCGTAGTGCACAGTAGAGCTATTAATTGGTAAAAATGGTCATTTTAGTGATATGAAAACTGTCTTTTATAGAGAGGTCTCATGGTGGTGTATAAAGGAAAGCCACTCTGCTGTAATGATGAAGGCTAAAACAACAGCTATAAGGTACCAACTAAGTAGATAAAGCACAATTTGGATTATAGATTATAATAAAGGAAATAAGACCTAATCCAAATAATTTATTAGTGTGTGACGTTTCGGTAACAACATTGTCACCATCATCAGACAAAAGAATTTTTTAAAAATGTTTATTCTTTTGTCTGATGATGGTAACAATGTTGTTGCCGAAACGTCACGCACTAATAAATTACTTGGATTTGGTCTTATTTCGTTTATTACCAACTAAGTAATTTACTCCTGATGCTTTAATAAGAGTGCTGTCAAAGGTGATGTAGAAAATTACTCATTTTGATCACCTTGTGATTCAGTGTTCTATATTTGCAAGGTAAGTGGACCAAATAAATAGTGTATGTGACCTTTCAGTAACAGCATTGTTACCATCATCAGACAAAAGCAATGAATGAGAGAAAATATTACAGCATGTTCTTAAAGAGTACTGTTATTAAGTGTGTAGACAAGATAGCAGATAAGAGAAGAAAATAAAGTTTTAAAATAAAATGGTAAAAAAAACAACGCTGTTACCGAATATCGTCACGCAATTTTTGGTGTATTTAGATGTAGTCTTATTACCATGTAGTTCTAATCTATAATGTCCAAATTGTTGTACCTTATCTCAGTGTGTGGTATGATATAAATTGTCAAGGGGAGAGTTTTGTTCAAAGTGAGGAACAATAGGTAGATTGGTATGAATATTCAAAACTATTATAGATGTGTATGATTCTTTCGAAAACTAAACAATTTCTTCAAGCGTCTATAATTCATAACAGATGGCACGCTGATGCATCACAAGATAGATCAGTGTAGATAGAAGGTGTCTAGGGGAAAATATTCCCCACCACCCCAGTACTTACTGTTCCTTGATCTCTGTGTACTCCTCCACCTGCTTGACCATGTCTGTCTCACTGGCATCTTCTGTGTCTGTAACACCCGGAGAGAGGTCAGCTTCCTTTGGAAGGATCAAATACAGGATTCTTTATTATTATTATTATCTCTTGTGTCATCACACAATGTCACGGAGACTATTTACATATACAGTAGAACTACCTGCCTATAAAGGACAACACCTAATTGCAGAGCCAAAGTGTCCTTTAGGAGGTGTCCTCTTACCTGAGAGTTGCTAAATAATGAAAATGGTAATTTTACAAATGAAAACTGTCCTTTGTAGAGAGGTGTCCTTTAGCATGAGTGTCCTCTCATGGAGGTTGTTCTACTGTTTAGGATTAGTGGGAAGATCCACCTTGTGTTTCCCGTTTTGAGGTGAGACAGACATGTGGCATCACCCCAGGTCTCCCAGGCAGGTACCATTGGTGAGGTAAAGTAATGAAGTCCTTTTTTCCTCTTTGGGTCCAATAGAGGATTCTTCTCTTTGGATAAGGCACATTTTGGGGATTATACATTAGAAACCTAAGGTAACAAAAGACCATCAAATCTTAATTAATGAAATGTTTGTGATGTTTCAGTAGCAGCGTTGTTACCATCATTTGTCTGATTACAACGGTGTTACATCACAAACATTTGTCATATTACCTTATATGACAGAAGGGTGATATTCATGGGGGGAAGATATGGGCTTTCCCTTTAAATAGCTGCAATTGCTTTAATGTAGGTAATATAGATGCAATTTATCAATATTTTAATGAATATTATTAATTAAGTATACTTTAACCTATTCATTCAAAATAAAATAATTTTCTATTCCCTTACTGCAATTATTTTTATTTTGGAAAGAATCATACGCATTAAAAATAAGATTAAATTTCTTATAACAGATGCTAGTGCATCAAGTGTACTTTATCTTCCAACACTGTTCCTTCACAATTTGGATTATAGATTATAAACACAAGGTAATAAGACCAAATCCAAATGAATAAATAGTGTGCGACGTTTTGGTAACAGCGTTGTTACCAGCATAACAGTATGTTTGTATGATGATGGTAACAATGCTTTTACCAAAACATCACACCCTATTTATTTATTTAGATTTGGTCTTATTACCTTGTGTTTATAATCTATAATCCAAATTGGACCTTATCACTTGTATAATTCTGTTTTTAAATGGTATTTCTTCTGTGTTTAATGGTGAATGGTGACTGATAAGTGGGGGGAAAAACTTTTGAGAAAATAGATTAGAAAACTAGAGATGTGTAAAGGCAAATTTGATCTTGAATCTTAAAACTGATAACTTTGGGTCAAGGTTATCAGGAGCCATTTCAAATTGTCTTAAGAAGACTTCCAAACATAGTTATCATCCTTGAAAAAATCATGAAATATTACACAAAAGTTTTATCAAGGCTGAAAAATGTGGTGTAGCTTTAAAAACATAAATATGATAAAACACAATTTGGAATATCTATATATATATAATTGAATGTCTGTCTGTGTGTGTGTGTGTCCTCTATGGATTCAAAAACCATACATCCAATCGCCGTGAAAATTTGGGATTTTATTAGGCATATCCCCGGAAAGGTTTACGAAAAATAATTTCTTGAATATCTTTAATATCCTTAGAGTTATTTGCAGATTTGTAGCTTTAACTCGCAAGCAGCGCCACCTTGCAACGGAGATAGGCTTAGGTCTGCCCCCCACCCCGCCCGGCCGGTCACTCCAAGTTCCCACCGACCAATCAGAGGGATCAAGAGCCCCCCACCCCCGTCCGGCCACCGGCCAATCAGAGGGATCAAGAGGTCCTGGCGCGCGGGGGGCGGGTGACCTCCGGGAACTACGTCCATCTTCCATAAACGACCATGATTTTATTCAACTTATCGAGTATTTTTCAAGTGACCGGGAAAATATGTAGATAAAACGATGATTTTGTAATGTAGAAAATTAGGAAAGACAAAATTCAGGATGACACGGCACACAGGGACCGGGAAAAAATAATCACTTTATCGAGAGATTCACGACCATGATTTTATTCAACTTATCGAGTATTTTTCAAGGGACCGGGAAAATATGTTCTGTTGCAGCTGATCATCTTTTCAATAAATATAATATACTATGTTGTTTGTAAATTTAATTATTTAAATAATTTGTATTTCTTAAAGTTTAATTATAAAATAAATTTTTGTAAATATATATATGTAAATTTTTGTGTAAAAATTAATTATTAATAGAGATTTTGCATATGTTTTTGTTGATTAAAAAGAAGAAAATATTTTAAAGAGGTGTGTGTGCCATCTGTCCTTCCTTCCACCCAACAGAGGTTATGGGCCTACTTGCAAGCTTTTAGCTGAATACTATAGCAACTTAAGAAAAAAGAATTGGCTAAACTTTTGGGGCCGCATTAAAAGTGAAAATGACTGATACAAATTTCACTTTTCCTAAGCTGAATGCTTTTAACTATAATATATGGAAGGTGGATATGAAGGTCCTTCTGATTGATAGAGGAAGCTGGGATTTTATCATAGATGAACCTGATCTTCCAGCTGAGGCAACAGCCAAAGATATTAGAGAATTCAAATGGAGGAAGGATAGGGCTTTCACTACAATTTACCAAGGAGTAGAAAGAAAATACCAAACCTTGATTGCTAATGCTGCTGATGGAAAAGAAGCCTGGAATATTTTAAAGCAGAATTTTGAGCCAAATTCAAGAGCCAGACTGGCTGGTTTGATTGATGAATTTTATGAACTGAAATTTGCTCCTGATGAAGAAACTATTGGAATACATATTTATTAAAAGAGTCCAAGAGAAAAAACAACTGATTAAAGAAGCTGGATTTGACCTACCTGAAGTACTTGTGTGTTTTCAGTTGATAAGGAAATTGCCTCAAGATTATGATGGCATTGTCCAAGTTCTATACAGACTAGAAGAAAAACACTTTAATGTTGAAAACATTGAAGCCCACTTAATAACTGAATCGGGAAGAGTTCAACAAAAGAAAAAAGATGATGAACTTGATATTGTGGCAAATGCTTATCAAACAAAAACTCCCAGGATGTACCAAGGAAATAAAAAGAAAAATTATTTTTCTGCAAAAGCACAGTATAGCAGTGGAAGCATGCTGGAGCCAACAGTGCATCCAAGAACATCAAGAACCTATGATATAAGAAATTGCTCCTTCTGTGGGAAAACTGGCCATCTTATAAAAGACTGTTTTCTTAGAAACAAAAACTCTCAAGGGCAACACTACAGAAAGGATCAGAACTAAAGGGGAAAATCTTCTGCATTTCATTCAGAAATTCTAAGCTTCCACCACATTAGTGAAAGAGCAAGTGATCCAACTAGTGAATGGGGAGAATGGCTGATAGACAGCGCAGCTACATCTCATTTTTGCAAAGA